TATTTGATCTCCTAAATTGATAGTTTGAATTTTTTAAAGCCTTCCACTTTAAATCAGGATAGATAAAAGGAAACTAATTCAAGGTGACTTTAAAAGTGATGTTCACAACTTCCTTTAGAAACTCAAATGGGGTGCATGAACACTGCTTAAACCAATAGTAGCTTTAAATTTATTACTGTAAATAAGGCTGGAGAAAATATCCTTAAACTGCAGTCAAAGTTACTAAGTTAGTGGTTGAATTCTATTAAGTGTATTTGTTCTGCTAGATAATTAGAACATGCTACTACAAGCAAACTATTTTTTCCAGTTAAAAAAAATTAATATGCTTTTTTTCTGTGCCTCAATAGAGATGATTAAAGAAGTCTTGTCCTTGGATGAGAAGATACACGATTTGGCTCTTGAACTGTACAAACAAAGATCGTTGCTGGTTATGGGTCGTGGGTATAATTACGCCACTTGTCTGGAAGGAGCTTTGGTAGGAACTTCTCAATATTGTAGAATGTTATTTAAAATGAGATTTCGTGGCTTCTGCAACATAGGTTATTTCTAATATTTCATTACAACTTAATTTTGCTGCAGTAAAGCTGTTATCTATAACTAGGAGCATTTAATTGAACACATACATAAGGTGAACCTGGATACTATATCAGTTTCTTGTTTCTTTCACGTAATAAATGCAGTGTTTAATGGGTCTATTTAAAACCAAAAACCTAACAGTTTACACTACTGATCTATTTGAAAATAACCTCAGAAAACCCAATGTGCTGGTGTTGAGAAGAGATGCTTGTGAAGGAAACTCATGAATTATGTTATGAGCATTCTGGTGGACAGACACATACCCACCTCTCAGAGGAGTTTGCAGTGTTAAGGATAGACTGCATCAGCCAAGGTTGTGCTGGGGGTTTGGTTCTTAAAGTCCCTGTTGATTACTCCAGTTCTTTATCTGCAAATGCATGTACCTGGGCAAGCTCTGCTTCCACCCCCAGCCTGCTGGAAATCCCAGCAGACAGCCCATGTGTTATCACTAACTGATCTTTGAAAATACCAACTTGATACCACATGTCTGCATTGAAGGGGCAGAGGTACAGCTTTGCTGTTCTGCTTCTTGTGGCTGCTGTTTCTCCACTGATTTACCAGTAACTTGATGGCATTTCTTTTTTTTTTTTTTTTTCCAGAAAATAAAAGAAATCACCTATATGCACTCTGAAGGGATCCTGGCTGGTGAGCTAAAACATGGGCCATTAGCCCTAATAGATAAACAAATGCCTGTTATCATGGTGATAATGAAGGATCCCTGTTTCACCAAGTGCCAGAATGCTCTGCAACAGGTCACTGCTCGGCAGGTAGGATATTTAACTACTACAGTGTCAGAGGAAAAGAGATTGTGCACATTGCATTGCTACTGGCTCTGCCTCCAAAAAAGGATGTACTGCTGATTTTATTTTAATTATAAAGTTATGAATAAGGTACTACATCTGCATTGTGGGTTGTCATTACAGGTTAAGACTAGCAGTGAAAAAGATTGCATGTGGGTCATTTATTTGTTTAGTTTTTTTTGTTTTGAAGCAAATGGAATAATGTTAAAACTCTGCAAGGTGAAAACATTCAAGTCTCACAATACAGTGAAAGGCAAAAGTCATTAGACTGGCATTGCCTTTGTTAGACACTTGAGTGTCTTCAAACATAGACAGGCATGCTGTGAACCAATATTTCAAAGCAGTTCTAGGTTGGCTCTTCACTTACCAGTGCAAAATTGTATTTTCAGGGTCGTCCAATCATTCTGTGTTCTAAAGAAGACACAGAAAGCTCAAAATTTGCCTACAAAACCATTGAACTCCCTCATACCGTTGACTGCCTTCAAGGAATCTTGAGTGTTATTCCTCTTCAGCTGCTTTCATTCCACCTGGCTGTTCTCAGAGGATATGATGTAAGTGCTTTCTATATTTAACACTCCAGTTAGTGCAGTTTTGAACTTCCTCCTACCAGTGTAAAGTGAGAGACCCAGTTGTATGGCATATGTAGCAGAGAACTATGATAACAGTTAGAGGAGCTTATCATGAATATGGTGGTACAGGTGGCATTTCAGTGCCAGTTCTTCAGTTCTGTGTTTTTTAAATTGCTATCCTTCTAAAAAAATTATAAAGATAATTTGTTAATTTGATTAGTTAAGAATAGACATGGGACTTTTTTAGAGAACTAAATCTTAAAATGTGATATTGTAGTTTAACCTAAAATAGGTCAATGCTTTCTACAGCTTGGTTTGCTGATGTGTAGGTGTGTCAGTTTGATAATGATGATGGCTTTGGAGGGGTACCCTGAGCAAAACAAATCTGTATTTGTTAGGAGGGTTTTGGAAGCAAGGATGAATTCAGCTGCAAGTCATTATCTGCAGATCTATAGTCTGTTGTGTGTGTTAATGTGCCTAGAATAAAGCAGAACTCATTAGGAAGTCTGAAAAAACACACTAAACGAACTGTCAAATGCAGAATGTCAGTATTACTCTGTCAATACTGAAAGTCTGTCTCTTCATTCTAGGTGGACTTTCCAAGAAATTTGGCCAAATCTGTTACTGTAGAATAACAGCCAAGAACAGCTGATGTTTTTGTCACCAGACCTCTGAGTTATATTTGTAGAAATGTATTGTTCTCAATTGATAGGTACATGTTTTTTCCAAAGAGAATGACAGTGCTGACTGGAAAGTGTCAAAAGGATTTACCTTGCAGCTTATAAAGCTTTTGATGTGCCTTGTACCCAAGTGCTTTTGCTCACAGCAAATATTTCTCTAAGTCCTGGAATTGCCAAAGAAGATAAAAATTGTTTACACATGGTATACTGAATGAACTTTTCTACTGTGCAATATATATATATATGTACAGCTCTCTCCAGAGTAACTGTGAACATTTTTTTAGCCTACACTACTTAACTAGTTTTAAAGATATAGTATTTATAACTACAATTGTATAGCTTTTTTTTAAGTTATTTTTTTTAGTACATTGCTTATCTGTAACATTGTTAATGCTCAGAATGTAAATACTGAGCATGTTGACACTTATGTACAGTTGTTGGGGATTTCCCTTCTTCAGCCTCAAACTGGAAATTTGTTGTCCCTCTTCCTCCCCACCTTTCTCTCCTCCCCTTTACATCTGTGTTTCATATTTAACCAGTCATTTGCAAAGTTATTCTGTGGCTGTAAATTCCCAGCTATGTTCTAAATTTCTGCTTCTTTCAACTAATTTGAACAGCTAGAACAACATTTGTTTTCTATGCCACCCTAGCTCTTATTTGCATAACATGTACAGTGCAACAGAATAAGGGAACTGGATGTCTTTCAAATGATACTTTGGTTTGAAGAGGGTACAATGAAATTACAATGCTATTAAAAGATGATAAAATTCTTCTTGTTTTGTGGCTTGTTTTTTTTTGTGTGTGTGTGTGTTTTTGTTTAGTTTTTTGTTTGTTTGTTTGTTTTTAACTTGGTGACTCCACATCTCAGATCTGAGATGTTTTCCAGAGGTGTACTGACACAGCAATGTCATCCCTGTAGGTTCTACTGTTGTTCACACCAGCTGTTGATTAAACCTTTGCTTTTTACCTTCTGCTGAGGTAGATGAATGTGGAAAGAAATTTCCTACAGGTGAAAAGAGACTCTGTGCCTGTGTTTTTACATATGCTACTCATGGTCACAAAGTTGCCTCCTTGGCCAAGAAAAAGTTGCCATAAACTTGCATTTAATATATAGTATCTAAACTCCAGATATTAGAATTTATATAAAAGAAACTCTAACACCCTATACTGGCACATAAGAGAATACTCAGTACATCTTCCAGCTAGGGATAAAGTTCCATTTATTAATATATACATTTGCAAAAGCACACTGTGCTAACTGTGAACTAACTTCCAGTAGGGAAGTTCTTATAAACCTCCAAATAAATAAGGGAGATACACAGATGAAGTCCTCTGCTCTTTAGTGTTCTTTTTTTTTTCCAAATGATCAGAAAGCATAATATTTAATTTTTCTACATTTTATTAACTAAAAACTTGACCAGTAAAAGTTTCTTTACGCTGTTCCTCTGCAGGCTGAGTTCTTAATGGAGTTGTTTGAATGCTTGTGTAGGTTAAGAGCTTGAGAGTATCACACTGGATTGTAATAGGAGCTACTTATTGGAAACTGGTATAGTACTTTTTATAACCACATAAAAGAGCTCAGATCATAAGGAAAAGCATAGTCCTAGTCTGACCTAGGTCCCAAGAACATGTAACTATGTATCTGACATGTTTTGGTAAGTAATGCAAAGACTCCTTTTACTCTCTGTCTAGAATTAGTATCCTCTTCATATTAAAAAGACTATAAAAATATTTTAAAAAACCATCAAGGAATACTGATGTCATCTAGTCTATATAATGCATTAAATTGACTTATTAAAAAAATTACAAGTGTGTTTTTCTAAAACCATCAGTTAGAATAGAAATCAGGGGAATTGAAGCTCTCACTAGTCCTGGGAGAGGTGGCAAATTGAGTTTATTTTTAGACAGCACCTGTTTTAAAAAACAAGCAGTCCTAGTGTCAAGGGGGGGGTGGCATGGTGAAGGGTGGAAAGGTCATGGTTTTTGAGTGGGGTTGAAAACCAACACATGTGACATCACTGTGCTGTGCTGCTTGGAGGGGTTCTTGATACAGGGGAGGTGTTTCCTTCATGAAGGACCTCTCCCTGCAGCTATGAGGAGCCACCAGCCACCAACCGGCCATGTCGTGGTGCTGCTGCTGTGAAGTGACGTCACAACCACAATGCCAAAATGACGTGTGTTGTGATGTCATGCCTGTCGATGACGTCACGCCGGGGGCGGGGCCGAGCTGCCCACCCTTCTCCACTGCGGTCCTTCGCCGCCCTCCCTTATATAGCGGGTGGTAGGTCCCGCCCCCGAGGCTCGATTGGCTGAGCTCCGCCGGCGGAGGATCGCGATTGGTCCGCGTCCCTGTCAGTCAGCAGGCGCGCCGTGCGGAGCGCCGTGCGGCCATTGTGGCCGGGGCAGCGGGAGGCGGCGGCCGCGGCCGGTGCCGCTCCGACCCAGGTGAGGGGGCGGCCGTGAGGGGCGGCGGGGCTGGAACCGGGGCGGGACGAGCCCTGGGGCGGCCGCAGCTTCACCCGCGAGCCCCGCCCGCCGTGGCGCGAGCACAGTCGGGGCGCCCCGCGGGCCGCTGCCCGGGCCCGGCCGCGCCGGAGGGACGCGGGGCAGCGGCGGGGCCGGGCCCTCCCTCCTGCCCCGAGCCCCCCGCGCTCCTCCGGGAGCCGCCTGCCCTCCCCCTGCTCCCCTCTCGCTCCGTGCCCGGTGCCCGGCGGCTCCCGGAGCCGGAAGGGTGGAGGGAGCGGGACCAGGGACTGCAGGTCCCGCTCGGTGCGGCCGGGGCGAGCCGGGGCTTTGGAGGCGAAGCAGTTCCTCAGTGGAAGTTTAAAGAAAGTCGTGGGAAAGCTGCTCTCTCTCGGTTCTTACATAAACAGCGAAATAGGTTACGGCACGTTTAAAGTTTTTCCCTCTTCCCACCAACTTGCCTTGGCAGAGCGCTGAGATGCGTGCGGTGTTTGCCTGCAGCGTGTGTAACAGCTGAGTGATGCCGTGAGAGGCAGTGGTAAAATCCTTGCTTGGTCGGTAGTGGTTTGGGTTGCTTAAAGAGGAAGGTCGACTTTTCCAAGAGCTGACAGCTACAGAGAACCTCTGAACTGCTGTAATCCCTTGGCATTACTCAGCGGCTGCCTTGTTACACTTTCGGTTTGTAACGGGCTGTTCCAGGGCTGTGAGTAGGGGAGTAGGAGGTAAATCTCTCTTGATTTGTGGTTGGACTCTTACCTGTTGATATACGTTCCTGTAAAGATTAAAAAAAGAGCCCAACACTCTTGGATGGTAGTCCTTAAAAAGGCACACCTGAATTTGAAGTGCATTTGCAAAGGTGGATAAGAGAATAGGGGGAGGTTTTCTGCACTAATGTGTATGTCTGAAATAATATTTGTCCTAATGCATCCGAGAAACTTGCAGCCCAAGTGAAAATTATGGAGGGGTACTTAGCATGGTGAATTGCTAAGGGTGTCAGAATACATAAAACTTGTGTGTTCTGATGCCTCGTTCCCTCTTTGGGTCTTGTCTAAATAGATATCTAAGTGATTTTTAAAACTTGGCTTCATGCAGGCAAGGATCCTAAAAGGGAGAATTTCTCTAGTTCAGGGTAATTTCATTTTCCTGAATTTTTTTTGTATCTCTTATAGACAAGTGTTTCATGAACCCCTGAAGACCTCAGGTACAGCATAGTTCTTGTGTAACAAACAGGCTGATAACCTGCAACTTGATACCCAGCTTATGCAAAATCTGTGCTTTTTTGGTTTTGTCTGTAAGTCCTTTCAGAGGGAGGATCTTGACCTTCCAGCTGTACCTTTCTTCCTGTAATGAAGATTCACTGAAAATACCATGGCTGCTCAGAGACTGTTTGTCAAAAAATTTGGTACTTCAGAGTCCATAGCTTTGATGTAGCAAAAAAGGTTGGAAAAAAGAGTGGGTTTTTTCCTGGGATGCACTAGGAAAGGCTGGGAGCACCTCTTAAGGCATCTCTTTGGTCTCATGTTGCTGTGAGCTGGCTGGAACTGCATCAGACTGCCCCTAAAATTATTGTGTAGGGGATGTAATTCTCTTCTTCCTTCCCCTTGTTACTACTGCAAGAGAGGCAGGAAGGTGGTAGCTCACATTTTCCCTTTGCTGGTCCTTTCTCCTCTGCTTTTTTCTTAAGCTACTAAGGGAAAATGCCAAGTAAACTGACTGTCCAAATTGCTGCTGGAGATGACCCAGTTGAATATCTGCTTCTTAAAATGCTGCATAGATTTTGAGAAACTGGAAGGTAAAAGGATCTCTAGACATTTCTTGAGAATGTCTGATTTTAAACTCTGTCTTTATTAGGACTTGTAGGTCTTCAACTAGTTTTATTGCAGATTCCTTGGAGTTCATCTACTGGCTTAAAACATGGAAAAGATGTTGCTTCCTCCTACGTGCACCGAGGAAGAGACAGGTCCAAATTCTAATTCTTGAAGCAACCCAAATTAATTTGTGTGGCTTTGTGCCCTTCTAGGGTGGGTGTCTGGGTTGCTCTTGAGGCTTTTCTGTTTTGCATTGGCTTACAAATGTTCTGTGGGACCAGTCAAAAGAGGGGGCTGAGCTGCTCTTTCTGTAGCTGAACCAGACCACACAGGACACAGCTGCTCTCATTTCCTGTTTCAAGGAACTCTTGCCTGTGCAAATCACTCCAGGCTCTAATGACACTATCTGTCACAGTGAATGCAAAATTAAAAATGGGAGAATTTGTTAGAGACTTCTTCAGTAATTACTGAGGTAATTTTCTTGTGAGGTTTGGAAGAGGGATGGAAGCCCAGGAAAACTGGCGGTCTGTGCTCTCGTTACTGTAGCACTTCAGAGCTAAAGAGGTTTAGTCCATTACTGTGCTCTCTGATGTAATTACTTACCTCTAATTCATCCCTGACAGATGGATATAACTTGTTCTCTATTGTGGCAGGAAAGTCTCCTCCAAACTGTGGCTCAGAACTGTAATTCTGTATCACTATAAGGACACAAAGTGCCAGCATAGGGGGTGTTATGGCGTGTGTAAGATGGGAGGGAGAATGTTTTGGGATAGCTCTGGATCAGGGAAGGGTTGCCTGGCAGAGCTGAGGAGGCAGAACCCCCCTTGGAATTTCCTACTGAACTAGGTTGAAAGGGATGTTGGAGAACCTGTTTTGCAGTTTTAATCAAGGTTTTTATTAAACCCCAGTTTCCTTCTGTCCACGGACTCCATGGATTTCTGCTGTTGCTTTCATCTGCATTCTCAGTGTTTGAAAAAAACATAATTTTTAATTTTCTTTTTTGTAATACAGAAATTAATACAGTCCTAGCACATAGTAGTAATTCTAAGTTATGGAGTAGCCTTCAAGGAGTAGAGAGTTGTTGGATTTGGGTGCTTTTGTTTGTTTTTACTGTTGTTTACTTAGCTTTTTGGTTTATAGACTGGAGTTTGAACATGGATTTCCTTAAAGCTGTGAAGGTTCTAATTGCTGTTTGTCTGCAAGTATTTTTCATTAGCAGTGGTAATACAAGAAACTGAAAGAATGTTTGTTTAATGGTGTGCTGTTGAAAAATTCATATGTATTAAAATATGTATAATATATTTTCCATCTTGTCTGCCTGAAAATTAGTGAGAAATTGAACATCTGTTTCTTTTCTTTTCCTTTAAGATCTTGAAAACTTCACCAGGCCCTGAAGAGAGGAAACTACATGACACTACACCATGACTGACAGTAAATGTGATAGCCAATTTTACAGTGTTCAAGTTGCAGATTCAACATTCACTGTACTGAAACGTTACCAGCAATTGAAGCCCATAGGATCAGGGGCACAGGGCATTGTTTGGTGAGTAATAAATACTTCCTTTAAATATAAAAAACTGTATTTCTGAAACAAAATTGTAATGCATTCCTCATAGAGGCACCAGAATGCAAATAGTGATGATAAATTCTCTTGCTACAGGGTTATGGATTAAATAAATTCTAAACCAATTGCTAGCTATAGTTCACTTACAAACCTCTTTTTTTGTTTTGTTTTTAGGGAAAATTAATGTAACTGCGTAAATTAAAACAGTCAACAAATTTATTCCTTTCTCATTAACCACTTTGTTTCTGTTTCTAGTTCTCCCACCCCCTTGCAGCTGTGATATTGCAGTGTAAGGTTTGACATTGCAGCCATGAAAGACTCTGGCTTTTACTCATTTCTTCATCACGGCCCCTCCTTTCTTCCCCCTCTTTTATTCCCGATCACTCCTGTCCATTTCTGGGAGCCATCAGTGCAGTGCCTTGCCCTTAACTGGCAGGATGAGGCAGATCAGTGGCATTGTCACTCCATGGGATGCTGTGTGAGGGGTTTGGGCTGACCAGCCCCTCCTGTCAGCCCAGCTTTGTGTCCAGCCTCCAGTGGCCCAGGACGTGAGAGCCATTAGGCTGATCCTGAACCTTAGTCTCTTGTGTGGCACCACACCTCTGGGCCAGCTAAAGGTAAACACTTTCAAATGTTCTTTAGACTGCAGCAATCCATTCTGCACAACATGGTTCCAGCCCAGCTTTTGTCGGGCAAAACTTACTTGGTAACAGCAGGAATGTTTATTGATGCGGTTTTTAATTCCAAGTGCAGGGGAACAAACAGATGCACTCAGGAACTCTCTGATATTGAACTTAATCACAACACATGGTGGGCTGTTCGTGCTTTAAATCCAGCCTGCAGTTTGTCTTCATCTATGAAATCTGCAGAATAACTGTGATGACTCATGTATTGTGAACAACTCCTTCTGCAGCACCTGCCCATGTCATCCTGCCCTTTTCATACACATCATAAGTTATATAAGTGGGAAAACAGTGCATTTTTGGTGAGAACATGCCTTTATTTTTAGGTTATTTAGATACCCCTATTGCCCTGCTAATAGGTGAAAAATAAACCAAATGAGAACACCATATTTCATTCTTCTTCAGTGGGTTGAGTGGTGAGGGGACATGCATCCTAGATCCTGGTCATTAGTGTTTGGGTAAGATTTAGTGTAGTGCTGACATTTTCCAGCTGTAAATGTTCTCAGAGTTATGCTTGTTTTAGAGGGCGTGCAGGAATTTAGGGTGGTTGTAAACTTCTCTCTTTTCATTAGAAGCAGTGCATTTGTAAACGAAATTACTTCAGCTAGGACTCTGCTTCAAAATGAAGTTCAGGTAGTGTTAAGGTCAATGTTTTGGGAGGAAGAAGGAATGATTTGATTTATTGACTTGTTTTGAAACTACTTGATTTATGAAGCAGCAGAGTGAAACATGGTGTAAAACATTCATCTTCCTGTGAAATACTTCAAGTTAAAGAGGATACAGAATCTTAATTTCTCCTAAAATCTCTTATAGTACACAAGGGAAAGAAACAAAATACTAGAATGTAAAATGTGGAAAACTCAGTGTAAGATGAGTGCTATCCTGCCATGTTTGGCTGGAAAATTTGTCAAGTCATTAGTGTGATGTGATGCTTTTTTTTTATCATCCAGTGTTTAACAAAAAAACCAGAAAAAGTGTTTCTGGAGTTTTGTGTCTGGATTTCATTTCTTCTGTGAGAAATTTTTAACACCACGTGTGTCACTTCAGCTAGGAGAGGTCTAAATTTGGGGGTTTTTTTCCCCCAAAATGTTAATGGGAAACTCCATTCTTATTGCTTCTGTGAAGTTTTATCTTTGGTATTAAAATGTAGGAAAATATGTATTTTTGAGAACACATGCTTAGGAAAAATGGTAAATGAGAGCTCTAGGAAGGTGAAAAAGTAACTCAGTGTTATGTAGAGGGTATTTCTAGCTCACTGTAAAAACAGATTAGGAGAAAAATTGGATATATGTTTTGTATTTTATATACAAAATACACATACATATAACTCACTGCACTTCTTTGTTCTGAAGTATTCATCCATTTGAAGTCTTGTAATCTATTTTAAACTGAAAAATTAGGTACACAGTCATTCTTTTGAAATAGTTTTTGTCTTCAACTTCCTGATGCTTTTTTTTTTTCCTTTCTTGTCCTTGATTTCCTACATTTTCTAGTGAATCCGATTTTTCTGTCCCAGCAAATTTCTTTTGTCCTGCAATGCAGCAAACCCACGATCTTATAAATAGCACAGCTTTGACTGTGTTGGTAACTTCACTTACAGTTGCACTTGGAGAAACAGTTAAGTTTGTTACTTTTTGGAAAACTACCACAAGTGCCCTGAAGACCTAGTTACAGTTTACTGGAATCACATTGGAATTACTGTTGTGTGGTGGGGTAGACACTGAGATTCTTCTCTGATATCAAGCAATGAAATAATTTGTAGATGTTTTGTTAGCAGCCAAGGTGATAATTGGGTAGACTTTGGCAAATCTGCTGTTTTAAACAGTTGCCATGATGAAAAAGTCTTGAATTCAAATGAGCAGGGATGGGGAAAGAAATTTAACACCAATTACACCCATGATTTTTTTGGTGTATTTATGTAAAATGATGTGATATTTAGAAGTGGGGTCCTGGTGGCAATAAAGATTATTTTCTGTCTTATTTAATTTACCAAGGGGAAAAAATTAATGCTCACATAGTTTTTTATCAATTTTTTTTTTTTTTTACCTCTACCAGTGTGGTTTTATTTCTTCCTCTTGGATTATGCAGGTATCAGACAGCTGTGGTTTTTCTTCTTTTTTTTTAATCTCCAAAATCAGAGGTTCAGTGGAGTTCTTCATATGTGCTCAGACTGAGGCTTGACATACACCTGATTTGTCAGATCACAGAGGGACACTTCCCCTAAAATTGCTCCTCTGTCCACTGCTGGCCTGTGATTGCCACCTAATTTGTGCAGACCCTGTTGGTTACTGATCTGATAGTAATTCTCAGATATAGTCAATAACATATGAAAGTCATTAAACATCAAAGTCATTAACATATAACTCCCCTAATTTATATATAACATCTTTTGGGTGAAGGGAATACTGAAACATCAATGCTTTCATACTTGGGAGGAAAATCATTTCTCCAACTGTCTGGCCAGTTGCCTTCCTCCCACTGTGTGTTTTCTTTTGCACAGACATAAAGGCTTTAAATCTCAAAGCAATTCTGGCACTGAATAGTGACTTATGCATTTCACAGAGCTAAGCTGAAATAAATACTGGCAGGTCTTTGGTGCAAGTGGCACATTGGTTCACATTTGGGACGTGTAATTTGGGGCATGGCTCCAAGAAAACACAATATCTCATGTGTGAGCTCTGCTTTGTGGTGGGGCTTTTTCCAGGAGGGAGGGGAAGCAGTGACTTTGTGCTGGTAAACTTGCTATAATTTGAGTATTGTTGTTGTCGCAGGGGAGCTGTAATTTCTGTAGGAGCACTATTGTGTGATGGTCCTTTTTAATTCTGGTGTTGTGTGTGCCACGATGAGGTAGGAAAGGAGCTCACAAAGAGCTTAAATGTGCTTGGAAAATATGTGATTGAGAATTCTTTCCTACCCTATGAAAGTAACATTAAATGGAAATAGAGCAATGTGGGAATCCTTATTTAAAACTGGAACTATTTAAAGACTGGAACTCCTGAGTAGCATGTGCTGTGAATTCATGTATATTTTGCCAAATAGTCTATGTGTAAAAAATGAAAAATATTCCTACTTTCGTCTTGTTCTCCTTATACAGATTATTTAGCCTTAGATTCTTATAACTATTAGAGCAAGTTTACACTTTGACCTCAAACTGCAGAGGGAAGGGACAATCAAAACTGAAAAATAGGATAAAATTTATGGTAATGTTCAATTTTAAACCCTCGTATTGCTCCCTTCAGTCCAAGTTTTCCATATTTCTTCAATGGATTTTTTTTTTCCCCTCCAAAAGCAGATGATGAAGGTAATTTTCTGCTAGGCACTACAATTTTCTATCATTGTAAACTATCCACAGAAAGGAGAATATTGATGCCTGCAGAAGGGATCGTAGAGACATGGTTGTGACTCTCCTTTAGCAAAGAGAAATATCTACTGCAAATACTAAATGGTTGTCAGTCAGCAAAAGTGTCCAAAAATATTCCAAATATACAGACTAGGCAATTGAAATGCTTCTTGATTTCAAATAAGCCTAAAATATTTTTAGATCTTGCAATTTTGAATGTGAGTCTTGAGTCAGCAGATTCAGTCTAAAGACAGAAAGGAGAGCAGGAAGACTTCTGATGAATGTCAGCACCTTCTGTTTGACCTATTTGTATTTATTAAAGGCTGTGTAGTTTTTAAAAGCTGTGTAGTTTTTAAAGGATGTTTGTTTTCTGAATTAGAATTAGATGAAGTTAGTACAAGCAGGTTAGTGGGTATGCTTTGTCTCGCCTCTTGATTTCTTTCCTCACTCCTGCCTCCCTTTTGCCCCCTCCTTTCCCTCAAACAGACTTCAACTTGTTTGTCTTTGAACACTTCCAGTGCTGCCTTTGATACAGTCCTTGGAATCAATGTTGCTGTGAAGAAGCTGAGTCGTCCTTTTCAGAACCAAACCCACGCCAAAAGGGCCTACAGAGAGCTCGTTCTTTTAAAATGCGTCAATCACAAAAATGTAAGTTGGCCTTTGTATTTCTCTCCCTCAGTTACTGTCACTTGTCAGAAAAGCTCTGGGTTTGCTCTCTCACTTGTTGTTAGTAACCAAAGTAATGGTAAAATAGTGAAGGACCGCAGAGATTTGCTGTTCTCTACGATGTGTGGTTAAGTTTTTGGGTGAGCTGTTCGGGCTGTGCAGTGCCAGGGGGAGGAGGGTTTTGCTCTGGTGTTGGTATAGGTTGCCATCAGTGTCAGCTTTACAGAGCTGGCCTTGCTCTATTCCATATCCCTTTTTAAGTTTTACTGCAGCAAAGCTTATTTAGCAGTGGGATGGTTTGGAGATTTGACCCTTGTAACTGCATTGTAGTTAAATCTTCTGAGCTTAGGCAAGATTTTTATTAAATACAGTGTTTAACTGATGGGGTTTGCAGAGGTGCAGCCCTGTCTAACAATTTATTGATAAACAAAAGGGAAATACTATGGCCAACACTTGTGAATTTTAAAGTCTGTGAACCTTCTAAAATAAGCCGTGATGTCAATAATTCAGTTTTCAAGTGCAAGAATATAAATTTATGTGACTGCTATGTTCTGCTACTAACATGGACTAGAAACATTGCTGATCATTGAAGCAGTGCAGTCAGGTCTCAAACTTTCTGGAATAATTAGCCTTTCAGGGTTGATTTTTAAGTAAGCTTTTGGTGAAGCCCAGATGTAGCAGAATGAAAGCAAGGTGGTTTTTAAGGAGGGCAGTACAGTAATTTTAGCAGTTCTGGAAATAGTACATCATAATCTAAGTTTAATGGGATGGCGTGGGGCACCTCTGTGCACGTGGTGTTGGACAGCCTTGGCTAAAATTCCTTGCACAACATGTGATTAAAATAAGAGATTATTATTTATGGGGGAAAAAAATGGCACTGGGGAGGGAAATAGAAAATGTCTTATAACTTTAAAAAAAAAAAAGGATGACTTTTTTCTGTCTTGGCTTCTTTGGCACACATGCTGCAGTTTGGAACTGTTTCTGAATTGGCAGTTTTTCAGCATATGTGAATTAACTGCAGCCAAGTAACGTTCAAATTGTATACAGTAACAGTGTGCACTTGATTTTTGGATAGTAACTTCTGTAATAGTGGAGTTTTATGTGAATTAAAGCAGAGATTTCTTCTAATGTTTGTTTTTATTTTATAGATAATTAGTTTATTGAATGTGTTTACACCACAGAAGTCACTAGAAGAATTTCAGGATGTGTAAGTACTAGATTTAATTTTCTCTGATAAATACTGGCCTAAGCACTGGAGGTGTATTTCCAGTATCCTACAGACTTCATGCCTTGAAAATCAAGGGTAGCTAAAAGCTGAAGTGGGAAATAAAAAAAAGGATATTTACCTTTTATTCATCTGTCTGCCATACTTTGCTGCTTGTATCTGGTTTGTTTGCATGGTCCTTCAGGTACAGGGATCACCTCAGGATAATTACTTGGTCTGGATAACCTGAGAGCATTTTTTTTGCTGTACCAATCACATCAGCACAACAGTATTATTGGCCTCAATTAAGAACTGAATATATTTCTTTTTTATTCAAGCTGTGTCAATTGGTCTAGGAAGGATTCCTGGCCATTTGATTGGTGGGATATTCCTGTAGGTTCCAGGGAATATGCTGTTATGGTTTGTGTGAATGGGCTTCCTGAGTAAATGAGGGAGTGTGTGTCTCAGGTGGGTGAGCAGATGATACTTTAACTTGAAAATTATTCGATGATTCTTAGTTTTTACTGTGCTTATCCCAATTTTCTTATTAATGTTTTAGATTAAAATACAGTGAAAGGGAGCATTTACATTGCAATATCTGCAATCTCTGCATCAACTTCAGTCAGTCGTAGCTTTTCATGCTGCATGAAGTCATAATTATTCTTTGTGTTACTGTTTGTAAAACTAGTGGAATTTTACTGTCTTGTGATGGACTATTCAACACTTAATTTTTCAGTAGACTATTTGAATAGATAATTTAATTTTGTAACTGGTCATGCATGGACTTTTTTGATCATTAACCTTTTTGACACCTATGTTAGCAAAGTAGTGAACTTTATTAAACATCTCTTATGCTAAGCTTAAACCTCATATGAGAAGACTTGAGTTTCCTTAATGCTTTCTTTTCTTGTGCTTTAGATATTTGGTTATGGAGCTGATGGATGCAAATTTGTGCCAGGTTATTCATATGGAATTGGATCATGAAAGAATGTCCTATCTACTTTACCAAATGCTTTGTGGTATCAAGCATCTCCACTCAGCTGGTATCATCCACAGAGTAGGTAGTAGTAGATCATTAACAATACTCTTTGTGAACACAGTTGTGAAACAGGGAGGAAGGGAAGGGGTTGTATAAAGAAGCAGATACACCAGAGCAGGAAAATGCAGTCGTTAGTAAAGTGAATTTTTGGCTTATATTGACTGTGGAGGGTGTGTGTGTGTGTATTACTCTGAATGTTAATCCTTCCTTAACTGGAGTAATTTCTTGTTAGGATTTGAAACCCAGCAACATAGTAGTAAAATCAGATTGTACCCTAAAAATCCTTGATTTTGGACTGGCAAGAACAGCATGTACTAACTTTATGATGACTCCATATGTAGTAACACGGTATTACAGAGCACCAGAGGTTATCCTTGGAATGGGATATAAGGAGAATGGTAAGTTGCTGGAGGAATGCTTTAAATCTTCTGTCTAAAGCATGTCTCTCTTGGAACATAACTTTGAAAGGAGGAGGGAGGGCTGGTTTCCCCTGTCGTGTCTGATTGTGGTATTGGAAGTAACAAAAAAATTACACTGTAATAATTTTGGGGACTATAACAGTTTGCTGTTCTGTGTGCCTTTCTGCATTTAACAGATGCTGCTCCCTCTCCCCTGCTATTGTTTATAGCTTTTCATGTGTTCACTTATTATCTTTTTGCCATTTTTTTATTCTCCAAAGACCTCTTGAGACACTTGATTCTGACTGATCTTAAACCTCCCCCCCAAAACCATCATTATATAAATAATAAACCCTTTAATCAATATGATTTTCTTCTGATGCATTTACATTTGACAGTGTCCCCCTTTACCTCTTTGATTATTAAAATCTGCTGCAGATCCCTTCATAAAACATGTCTTATATTCTCTTAAGTTTGCATAGCACTCAAACAGCCTGTGTGTTGTGTTATTAAACCCAACACAGCTATAATATATTGAATACTGAGCCAACAAAATTGTTGTCAGGGAAATTTTTGCATTTTTGCTTTATTGGGGGTTTTACCTGCTGATTTTTACTGGTGGTGGACTTGCATGTTAGTGAATCTTTTTGCTTTCTCACAAGGGCTTGGGGATACCATGGGGTTTGTATACATGTAATTTTGGCCATGTAAAACAAGGGACCTTGATTGGGCCCTTGGTAATGGAAAAAAACACTTTAATTAATGCACAAGGCAGCTTGTCATACAGGAAGTGCTGATGTGGATCAGAACTTTAGTAAAGGCTGTTCTGGTTGGGACAGAAATAAATTGTCTGCAGGACTGTAGGAATAAAGGGTGAGCTTACAAATAAGTAATTGTGGTGTTTTAAAAAAAATCTCTTTAATCTTTTGTCCCTGTTGCACCTAACATGTGCTAGTGGATATCTGGTCTGTTGGGTGCATTATGGCAGAAATGGTGCTCCATAAAGTCCTGTTCCCAGGAAGAGATTGTATCCTTCTTCACAGTCGTTTCACAGGTGGAAACACTGATTACATTTTACAAAACGCTCATAACAAAATTTAGGAACAGTCAGTTGGTGTTGATATGATTGAAAATTCACGTGAGCAGTTTGGTTTTCCACATTGTTGTGTTTTATTGTAGATGCATAGATGGTTTTGTTTGTTTTCCTCGCTTTTGTTCATGATACTTCATAATTTGATCATTTCACTTTTATTTTCAGTTGATATCTGGTCAGTTGGGTGCATCATGGGAGAATTGGTGAAAGGTTGTGTGATATTCCAAGGCACTGATCGTATCCTTCCCTAGTCATCCCTGAATCCCATTCCACTTCCAACAGAGACACAATTATTTTGATCTGTATAAGTATAAAAGCATAAACAGTATTTTCAATAACATGTTGTAATAGATCCGCTGTACTATTTGAAATTAGTGTCATTAACCAAATTATTGAGCTTTCCATTTTATTTTCTTAGTAGACTATATTTAATGTAACTTGCAGTAGTTGAATCCATGGAATATATGTTAAAAGCTTTGGCTTTTGTAGTTTAAAAAAGGGTACAGTTAGGTTTAAAAAACAGAAAATATACTTACTGCTTTTTTTGCTCTTGTTCATTGTAGATAAGTGTTATAAGCAAAAGCCTACAAAGTTACTTTTTACTGTGCATGGATTTTGCTTACTATTTGTTCAAATAGTAGACTAATTTTGTTTATTGCACAATTTTTTGAGTTTCAATCAGATTTTTTTCCCTCTTTATTAGTGCTTGCTGGGCAAAGGTGTACCAATGGCAAGCACACTGCATGAGATCTTTTTTTATTCCTATTATTTAATACAAAAAGAAAAGCTTTCTTTCTGGAGGTTTTTTGTTTCATTTTACGAAAATTTGATTTTGGGCTTATTTTTTCTACAAGATAATGTTTTAAAATATTTCCCTAGAAACAAAAAACATTTGACTCGTTATCAAGTTCCAGTTATAAAAACTGAAGGAAAATCGATTTTGTCCTTTATAGGTAATCTCTTATAAAATACTAATGTTGTAGGACCAAACAGTCAAAATTGATCAGTCAATAAATAGAATCCAGCCAACAAAATCAAACCACAATTGTCAGTTGTGGCTGTGGGTCTCATGTAGCTCCTTGTGCTCCAAGTTTTTGAAGGAAGTATAATATTTTTGTTCATCAGCAAGAAGCAGTTGAGTCCACCACTAAAAATATCAAGAACCTGTTCACAGGTACCTACATATCTTATAGAGGAGGACTTCCAATTGTGATGCTAAATTTCATGACACTAATCTCCAGCAGTTGATCATGCATTATTGAGTAGTACCAATGATTAATTGTTAAATAAGTCCTTTTTTTTTTTCCTACCTTTCTTCCTTTCTATACTTATTATTTTACCTTTTGAAGCCTTCAGACCAACCTAACACAATTCTTCATGTATGTTATGTGTCTTTCACCTGCATGTTATTAGCATGGGCTATTTCAATTTATTCATGAATAAATTAAGGAAATTTTGTGCATTATTTTTGAACAAGTTACCATTTTTGATTCCCTCGGGGTCACTGAAGCTCCACCAATCTGTGTTTCAAGGGATCTTTTCCCCTAGTATGGAAGTGCATAGCTGTGTTTACAGGGATTTTTGCTTCTTGTAAGAGTTTCAGCTTTCTTTAATGTGAAATACTGACAACTCTTTGTGTTGTTGAAGCTTTTTGAGGTTTTGTTTGTTTGTTTTCAAGTTAAATTTTAAAATGTGTCAGTCTTTGGAGATATAGAGGATGGAGCCAAATTCAGCACAATTTTCCAGTGCTATGCCCTTGACTATCTTCAGGAAAACTTACCCTTAGACTCAGTAATTTGTCTTTTCCCAGATGGCAGCTGGGGATTTCTGGGATACTTGCAGCAGTGCTCTGGGTGGAATGAAATGCTCTGCGTTGCCAGGGTGATGGAGGCACAGAACCTGCTCCTGACTGGAGCTGTGGAGGCCTGAGAGACTGGAAAGGAGAAATGCAGGAAAACCAGGCAAGATACCTAAGGTGAAATAATGGAAAAATGTGGCAGCACCAGAGTGTGTTTAATGCTCTTGCTGCCCACGTGGTGAAGGAAACTAATTACCTGACTGATGAAAAAAGCATTAGGAGTGTTCAGGCTGTCTTGGGAGAAGTCATGCTTTACTGTGATTGTAAGAAAGACTCTGTTTTCAACTTCTTTTCTTCCAGAGTCCCCCAGAAATAGACAAATATACTTGGCATGGCTTAAACTGCTGGTTACTTTTGACTCTGAAGTCACTGGAATGGGAAGGGTGATTTTGTCATTCAGGGCTTGCTCTGGCTGCTTTAGCCTGAAATCCCTCATGGGTTTCTGATAAGAGGTTTGTCTTATTTCAAGTCCATCCTATATTAAGAATTTTTTTTTGACTTTCACCATCTGTAAAGCACTTTGAAACAGTCCAGCTGAAATACTGTTTTTTGCCAGTTTTTACCTCTAAATTGAATAGGTCATTAAGTTTTCTGCCCTCCCCCCAGTGCTCTGAGACCTCAATAGACTGGACTCTAATTTGATTACCTGATTAACCAGGCTGCTGTTACTCAAAAGAAAAACATCTTCTTGAATCTGGATTGGTGGAGATCTCACAAAAATCAGTTTCTTGGCCAGGAACAAAATTTCCTTATATATGTCAATATTCTTTGTCTGTGCTTTGTTTTAGCATGAGAGTTAACAATATTCACTTCTTAATTTTGATTTTAATAACAACTTTTCCATTGGAATGCATTCAATAAGTAAAATTTTCAATCTTTGTATCAGAAGTCTAAATCCAAAGTCTTAGCATTAAACAATGACAATACATATATTCCTAATTATATTTTTGGCACACTAATTACAATAAAAGCACCTCAGTGTTTTTTAAATACATCTTAATTCAAAGTACAGCATACTTGTTGTTTTGTTGCATAATCTGTCTATGAGAATAGATAGGTTGAAGTGCTAGATTATGAATTTAGCTATAAATGTTTGTGAGGTCAGTGAATAGGCTCAGCTGGAATTGCACATTCTTTTTATGAGGAGAAACTCTAAAGTATAAATCAGAGTAGACTTAAATATCAGGAATATTAATGCAGTGTCTTCTTGGTGTGATAAAAGAGCTTTGTTACCCCAAGTTCAGAGCAGGCTCTGGTGTTGTTGTCTGGGGGAAATTGCTTCACTTGAAGGAGGGAGAAGGGACAGCCCTGAAGAAACATGAGGCACAATTTCAACTTGTGATTTGTAAATGCTATTCCTCTGAGATATTTAAATTTTGGATTTAAGAACAGAGTAATCTGTGAGTATTACCATGGTTGATACACTTCAAAAAAAACCCAACCTGCTAAAAACCTACAGGAATCTGGATTTGCTGTTCAGAACTCCTCTGAACCTTTTCTGATGTTGAAAAAACCCACAAAAACAACAAACAAAAAAACCCCCAACCAACCACAAAAAACCCCACCCAACCATCCAATCAGCCCTGCCACCAAATGCTACAACCCAAAGCTTAATTTCCTTAGGAGACAGGCAGAAAATTCCTTTCTTTGGATGGGATCTATTTGTGCTTTAGGGGTTTTTGTGTATTTTTCCCTACCTTCACATGGCACTTCAGAAGATTACACAGCAGCCTTACTTTTTTGTCCTTAGAGTTGTTTTGCTGTGGATACAATTGCCAAATAAAGCTTCTTTTGGACTCCAAAAAAGTATTGCTTTCAATACTAGCCAATAGATAATAATTAGGAGGAGACAGCTAAGCATAATATATTGTGCAGCACCTCCAGCCTGTCCTTCAGATTAAAATCTGAATCTTTTTTTTTGTCAGTGTAACTTTTTGCATGGCAGCTCAGGATACTGCCAGTGCTAGAATGAAGTTCACATTTATGTCCTTTGTTCAAGTTTTCACTAACTTTTCAGATTTTGTAAGTGCTATTTTTGTATAGTGCAGACTTCAAATCCTTCAGCTGATTTTCCTAAAGATCTGGTGCAGATATTGATCAATGGAATAAAGTTATTGAACAGTTAGGAACACCATCAGCAGAATTCATGAAGAAACTGCAGCCTACAGTGAGGAATTATGTAGAAAACAGGCCAAAATATCCTGGTATTAAATTTGAAGAGCTCTTCCCAGACTGGATATTTCCATCAGAATCTGATCGTGACAAGTTAAAAAGTAAGGCGAGTTTTTTCTCTCTTTTTTTTTTTTCAGGATGTTATTTACACCTAAGTTAAAAACCTAATATAAAATGTTTATTGCAGTAGGTGTCAACATTACAAGCTGCATACCTTTGTGTTTCTTTCATTTATGACAAGTTCTGGAATCTTAATAGCAGTTACTCAATACAGACTATATCCCCATCCCCAGGATTCTGTTTAATTCCCTTAATTTTAATTCATTGAATAATGTCTGTCACTTCATGTTCTCCTAAAGCAACACTTGTTATGGAGGTTATTGCTGATTATCTTTCTCTAACTGCTGTGTGCATACAGCTCATGTTGGCTTTAATTTGACTTCAGATAATTACTGAGAAAATGAAAAAAAAACCCAGCCCACCTTATTATATTCTCTAGACCAGAAGGGAAATCTGTTACTGTGCATGTCCTGTGTTCCCAGTATTTATTTCCTGTGCCAGACATTAAACTCTACAGCTCTTTTACATGTGTGTTCTTTTCACCTTTATTTTCTAGCCAGCCAAGCAAGAGATTTATTGTCAAAAATGCTTGTAGTAGATCCAGACAAGAGAATTTCTGTAGATGAAGCCTTACGTCATCCTTATATTACTGTCTGGTATGATCCAGCTGAAGCAGAAGCTGTAAGTTTGCAATTAAAATAAATTTTTAAGATACCAGTTTAATAACTTGAAAAAAATACCTTTAATTTTAATCAAGAGCATGCTTTGAACTCCTTCACTGGAAAGCAGAAGTCACATATAAAGCCTTCAGATCAACATTGAAAATGGTTGTTGGTATTTCCATTTACTTCACAGAAAGAGGTGCCTTTTTGGTGGCAATCCAGGGCAGTTTGAAACAGGGACTTGCTCTAAGGCCCTACAAAGCCTTAAAATGAGTTTATTTTAGTTGATGCTTTTTAACAGCCTTTCAGTGGGAGACAGGACTTAAAAGCAAATTCTGGAGTTGTAAAATGAATGTGTCATTGAGGTATAGAGAATAAACTGCCTACAGTGAAGGTAACAAAATGCTGAAAAAGTTGTCATTTTTACATTTTTTTAGTTCTGACTGGGTGTGTTAACCTGATGCAGTAGACACAACATAGACTTTTCTTTTCTTTGTAGCCTCCACCTCAAATCTATGATGCACAGTTGGAAGAAAGAGAACATGCAATTGAAGAATGGAAAGGTAAGAACTGAGCATGTCAAATTACATTTATTGTAATATCTTGTGTTATTAATGTGTGGCCCCCAGTACACATGTGCTGGATTGTGTAACTGAGGGGAACCCACTGTTCCAAATAAGCAGCACTGCCTGTGGCAACAGGAAAAGAAATCAATAATGGAAACATGTTCTGTGTGGTGTAAATACATAGATAGGTGTGTATATGTTCATTTATACATGTAACATTTTAAGTCTGGTTAACAAAAAGCCGCATTTTCTTTTTTTTCTTCCCTTTTTGTTATTCTTAAGTGTTTGTAATCTATATAGCTTTTTCCTTGATAGAGAATTCTCTGAAAAAAACCCCATGCCTCTTCTCAGTGTGCATTATTTAAGCCACATCTCTTGTCAATATTTACTAGTTCATTTGTTCTATAAGTCTTAAATAGCAGAAGAGTTCTTTGGTGTGGGTTTGTTTTTCCTCTGATTGCTCGTTTATTGACCAACTAGGTTAAACTGTTGACTTAAACAAAAGAAAAGACAGCACTGTGGTATTGAAATCAATTCCACCTTATAGTTTTAGTCAAAAACATTAAATGGTGAGGCAATTCAAATTTTAAACATCTGCCATCACAAGACCAAGGGTTATAGACATCCTTGATGACTACTTTGAAAGCTGCTTGCTTTTGTAAAACAGCTTTATAGATTTCAGATATTGATTCTGGCTTATATAGACATATATTATCCTTAGGGCCAGCACAGGTAGGCACACTTCAAATTATCTTTGATTACTGCAAGGTAGAAAATTAAATGGATCAGCTAAATCTAATTGAATGCATTTGTAAACATTGTTACCCAGAATTATAAAGGTCTTAATCTATTTAGATATTGTTACTCTTGGTTACATTAAGACTATGGGTACATACACAAGCTTCTGTAATTTAAGTTACAGCTCTGATTTTATTGTTGTTGTTTAGGTGCCTGTAACCTGAGTTATCCTTGATTAGTAAACCAGGGGTTTAGTGGAGTATTTTAACTGTTTACCCTACTTCAAAATCTCCAGGCTTTCCTCAATACATCCACAGAGATTGTTCTTCAAGAATAGAGATGTTTGTGTATGGCTTTCTTATCAAAGTAAAATATCAATAGGGGTTTTAAATAAAATCAGATTTTTAAATCCAAACCTGTAGAATTTTCTTAAAATTGCTGTAGGCCTTTAAAAATAAAGAGGGAAAATAAATATCTCTACAGGCAGACCCTTAACCATTTCCTTTTACCTTGATACATATGTGAATTATATACAAATCCTTTGTGTTCTTACAGTGATTTTTTCTGTCTCTTCTCTCTTTCCCTCCCGCCCTTCTCATAAGAATTAATATACAAAGAAGTTATGGATTGGGAAGAAAGGAGCAAGAATGGTGTGGTAAAAGATCAGCCCTCAGGTTAGTCATTGTTTCAGTAGTTCTCCTGTAACTGTCACACACAGTGCTGACCTGTGGCACTGGGAAATTAAGAAATCCTGCTTAATAATCCAGGTAGGCAAAATTTTGTTGTTTAGGACTCTTGAGACTGGTTTGCCTTTGGAGACCTATGTGCTCTAGCTTTTAATTGTTGTGAACTCGTAGGAAAACTTGAGTAGTGTTGTGTGTCCTGTTGCCTGAGCTGCCTTCTCCCCAAAGGGCTCAGCCCTCACATGAAATAATGGGTACTGTGTTATATCACCTGGTGCACAGGTAACTTTTATGTTGGTTCTGCAGGAACCCCTTCCATGCAGGGTTAAACAGCATTAGGGCTCCTTTAGAGCAGTTAATAGTGCAAAGTATTTATGCCAATGATTGAATCCTTGATATTTGCTGCTGTTCTCAAAGGTCAGTGATTAGAATATTGTGCTGTCTTTAATAACTTATATCTGTTAGATTTCTTGGCACTCAGGTCACTTTTCACACTATACGTTGTTAGTTTTCGTTCCCCTTCTTCCACAGGAAGGGAGAAAAAATAAAAATCTCTTAAAGGTCACCTCAGCTTTTGAGTGCTAGGGCCCTTAGTGCTTGCTTTTCCACTCTTTATTAATTTCTTGATTTCCTAAGGATTTCTGTGGGGAAAGAGCTGCTCGGAGCCCAGAACTGTGCTTATTTGTGTCTGCAATATTATCTTGCCTCAGATTTTATTATGTTTGGTTTTCTTAGCACAGATGCAGCAGTGAATAGCAACACCAGTCCTTCCCAGTCATCATCTATCAATGACATTTCATCCATGTCAACAGAGCAAACCTTGGCCTCAGACACAGACAGCAGCCTCGATGCCTTGACAGGACCCCTCGAAGGATGTCGATGATCAGCTGTGATTGCAGACCTGACTTTGGGAAAAAAAAAAAAAAGCTCTTGTTTCCATTGGGCCTGAATTGCTTGTAAGTTAATGGAACCAAGTAGAAAAACTCCATGTTCTGCATGTTCTGCTAAAGTAATGCCTGTTTTTTTTACTCAGTTGTTATGAAATTGCCTGCTTAATGTTGTAGAATGAAAGCAAATCAATGTCTAAAGAAAAAAAAATTTGAATTTAGACACTATTATAGGCTTTTCTTTGTTTCAGCCTATTTCAGGTGAGCAGTTACAATAGGCCTTTAGCCAATAACTCCTCTTCAGTGGCTTCATCAGTCTTCAGTCCCCACTGGCAGGCTTCTGTGACACAGTGGTTGTTTACATTTTAGTACAGCATTGCTCATTAATAGGTTTCTTGAATGTATAATCTCTAGGAAAGGTTGTTTTAATGTGTGACTGTGGCAATTTGCTTTATTTAACTGGAGTGTTGTATGTAAGTGTGAGCTCCCATGTTGAACACTCTCAATTCTACCTTTAAAGGGCACTCATTCTTCCACTTAGCACTTTTTTTTTTTTTTATTGAGCCCTTTCTATCTTCCCTTTCCAACTGCTCCATCTTCTTGTTGAAGAGATAAATGTGAAGTTTGAAGAATACAGCCATTACTTTGTGTTTCACTTATGTGTCTTGTAAGTTCTTCAGTTTTTTTAATGTGGATGGAAGATACAGTGGCTTAAATAAATCTGGAGGAAGGATGAGTGAGTTTTCTGTGCAGCAGTGCCTGTTTGGAAGAGGAGAGTGTGCTAAAATATTCTGTATTTTCTAGCTTGTGATACTGGTCCTTTAAAAGCATAAACAGAGAAGGAAATAATATCTGTGATGCTCTTCATTCACTGCAAACTCTGATAAAAGGAGAGATGAATTGGAGAGACTTGCAGCCTGAAAAAGCTGCATAAATATTTTCCATTTTTTTAATGGGTCCACTCTATCTATCAAGTAATTAAAAGAAATAAAAATACCGTAGTTTTGAGTCACTTGTAAATTAAGTATTTAGTTAAGAGAGCTCAGCTCTGTTCTCGCCTTAGGGAAACCTCTCTATTTGTACTGGGGAAGGAAATCATATTTAATACATGTTTTCTAAATACAGTGTCAGAGAAGAGGAGGAGGTTGTTTGCTGTTTCAATTCAGACTTATCAATACAGTTTTCAGAATCAGATAACAGAAACTTTGCCTGTTACATTGCACAATCTGTTGAATTAGTAAATGTGTTTGCAGTAGAGTAGGGCTTGAATTTGCTTTATGACACACCCTTGTGAGTTTGTGCACGTTCACTTTGGAGTGCCCAGGTGTGACATTTTGCTAAAGGGGCTTGTGTGTGCATGTGTGTGACTAAACTATAGAAGTGTAAGAGTAATAAGAGATGTACAGGATGAGGTAAAACACCACTTTCTTAAAGGCACTATATTTAGCAATCAATCCAGATACTCTTGACTTGAATATATAAATAGAACTTGTAAAATATACTGGCCCAGACAGCCACTGCATTACTGACATATTTCTCTTGTAAAAGAAAGTTATGCATTGTTCCTGACCTTATGATTAGGAAAGCAGCACTTTCTCCTTATGCAAATGCTGCTTTTATATTAAAATTGTACCCCTTTTTAATAGCTTAATTTGCTGTAGCAAAAAGATTAAGGTTTTACTGCCCCAGAAGGTTAAAAGAAATAAAACTTAAGAAAGTAGTTAATATTAACTTCAGACTTGCCATCTGGAATCTCTAATTTTTAAAATTCTATTTAATTGAATGGTAGGATATTGGGGCTTGGATTTTTTCTTATTGTTTGGTTTTAAACCTACGGATAACTTAATTTTATCTCTGGATACTGACAGTATATGTGAAGTATTTTTAGTGCATTTTTGTCACTGGAAAAACATTTAAAAATACCTATTTACCATATAGCAGAACAGTACAAGTTGTGTTCTTTTGCATCTTTTTTTTTTTTTTTTTTGGTCCCTGTTATTTGTGTGAGTTAAAATTACTGAAGACACCTGTTCACAATGAACATGAGTGATTCATTATGGAAGTCATCTATTGGATTTCAGTTTTCAAGACTTACAGATTGTTCAAGTGAAGTTGTACTGTGCTGTGTTCATTTTGACACTTGGAGCTTTAGAAGACTTCACAAAGATTTATTTCTTTTTCTTCTTGTGTTTGGATATTTGTTTGGGTATTTTAGTTTTTCCTTTTGGACTTGGGCTGCTCAGAACAACAGGGGGTTGGACCAGATGACCTCCAGGTCTCTTCCAACCTAAATTATTCTGTGATTCAAATTGTCTTTTAATGCTTTTAACACAACTGTACTATCTCCATGATTTAAACTGGTATCTGACCTTCTCCTAGTACATACTGTTAGCTTGGGTATGTACTCTTAGAACAAAAAAAAAAAACAAACCAGCCCTGAGATTAACTGAGTTTATTTGTAAATCTTGCAGGAAATGCTGTCTCATACCTTATTTTTTTAATGTCTTCTTGCTGTGGCGTACATTGAAGTTTTAGAATGTCACAGAATGCCTTTGAAACATGCATGAAATGTCTGTGAATATTGTGGATTTTGATTCCAGGTTAATTCAAAACCCAGTTGCAAATGCACATCGAGCTCCAGAGGGCAAATCTGCAGGTGATACTCACACAAACCCGTGCAGAGTAGGTGCATGCTGCACTTCCCAGGCTACTCCAGGGTGCATGTGTAGGCTCTAAATGCCCTGCATGCAGCTTCTCTACGTGTCTCTGTGCTCCTGGCTGCAGAGGAAATCCAGTGCCACACTTGTGAAATGGTTGTCAGTGCCATGAGAATCCTCACTGATGGAAAGCAAAATGCAGTGTAACTTGGCAGGGGTTTATAAATTTAGAGAGTTTGGTGTGCAATACAATCACTTGTGTTCCTAATACTAAAAAATCATGTGTGTAAAGTGATGCAATTGACCATTTTTTTGCACTTTGGCATTTATAAATATTTATATGTATTTAAAGATTAAGAATGTGTGTGTATACATATATATTAAGGAAACTGCTCAGTTTTGTAAACATGAATGTTACTTTCCTTTGAGAGGCTTTGTATAGTGTTAACACTACTGCAGTACACAATTTAAGGAATATGACTAAAATAAGTGGTGGTCAACATAGATACAATCTGTAATCTTAACTGCTCACCTGAAAATGAGAGGGATCTATGGCTGTCAATCAGATATTTTACCAGAAACATGTCAAATATATGAACACTGAGTAGCTGAATGGCATTGCAGAAATGGAGTATGTTTTAAACAGTTCATTTCATCTGTGCTCATATCATTTTTCCTCAAAAAAAAAACCCTTAGAAAGGGAAGCTTGGTGTTTTACAATCTGGGTAAGCAGCCTGTAAGTGTGCTTTGAGGAAATACAGTGATATGACAAGTGTTGGTTTTTATTGAAAAAGACAAGAAATGAATGTCAAAATTAAGGCTTTGTCTGCATGGATAATACAAACTGAACTAGTCTAAGGGCTGGAAACTACTGTTTGCAAACAGCCTTTGAGGTTTTGTAATGTTTCCAGTAAGAGTTTGTGTTTTCTTGTCAAAATAATGAAAAACTCAACCTTAGCTAGAAATTAACTGGTTGGTTGGGGTGTTTCCCAAGCTGTTAGGAACCAGAGGGCTCTTGACTTTTTTTACATCCTAACAGAGCATACATGTTTATTCAAAATCGATTAAAAGAAAAACAAAAAGTGATTCCATACGTTTAATTTTTCTTTCTTAAAGGAAGGACCTTAAATGCTAAATCGGTTTCCTTAAAATTATAATTTTATGGACGAAGTAGGATTTAGACATTTAAATACAGCTGACATACAGAGTCTCCAAGAGCTGGGTGGGTGACCCTTGTGTTGTCAGAAGGGCCACCCTCCAGCTGGGTGTGGGGTTGAAGTGCAGACAAATGTTTGTGACCGTGATGCTGTCGGGGAGTGCGGGGTCAGTCCTGCAGCGATCCAGCGTGGGGGGGAACTGCTGAACAGCCCTTGTCTGTATATTCTACACATGTCACATGGATTCTAGCAGGGCTTGATGCTAAACCTAGTGATGCCATATACTGGGAACCAAATTCTTTCGTAGGGTGTAATTCCTGCTCAAAACTGGTTTTGATCCAGGGCCACCTGCACCCAGATGCAGAATTTGGACTTGAGTTTCTACGGATGAATCGAATGATTTCTTTGCTTTTCCAGAGTGTCTTTGATTATTTTTTTTGACTATTTTTTTAACATGTCGAAATATGACAGAAAAAGTGTATTCTGTCTCGTTATTTTACATTTTTTAGTTTGTCTATTACATGAGTGACAGTGATGTTCTCAAAGCTTATTACACAACTTATCAAATGAGGTTTGTTTTTTGCCCACTCTGCATGCTAAAAATGTCTGGAGCTAAACTAATGTTTTAAGTAAACCATCTTTTCTCATGTTAGTTTTGGAGGAAAGTGGAGAGATAACCATTGTTTCTGTTTGTGTTCTATAAAATAACTATTTTTGTAGCTAAACTTTCAGTTGTTGGATTTCAATCCCACAGTGTTGCTCTGTGGATATAAATTTACCTGGGTCCGCTATTTCAAACAGTACATGTATAACAAGTCCAGCCTAAAATTAAACTAATAAAATGCAATCTTTTGCAATTTGTTGTTGAAAACATAGCAAATCATTTTGGTCCAAGAATTCAAAACAAAATGGAGAAAATACATTTAACTATTTAAGTTTATTCCTTGATGCTGCTGCTTATTTTTTGAAAAGGTGCTTGCAGTTTTGCACAAAAAGAAATCAACTTTATAAATTGCTGGGTTTGAAGCACTTTAGGATTCTTCTAAACACAACCAGTATATCATGTAAAAAGGAATGACATAACATGTTTAATGTGCTTAAATTTTGGTTGCCATCTTTGCTATTCTGATCCATTTGATCAGTGTATTTCTTTAAGCCTGTTTTCAGAGATTTGAAATCAGACTTTTTTTTTTTTTTTTTTATGGGCTGAAATTTAGCACATGGTAAGAGATGGATTGAGAAATATCCTGCAACTGGGTGACTTGATCAGCAGTGTGAATACCTGGCCATCTATTTGATAGAGACACAACAAAGACACAGCAATGTCTGTTCCTATAGCAGGGTCAGCTGGCTGTGAGCACTAGGATTCTTTTTATAAACAAAAAAACCTGTTTCTGAACTTTTGCCTATGCATCATGAAGTAGTTGTATGTGCTGTGGTAAGGCCAGAGCATCTGCTCTGTGGGACTCCACGGCAGCAGATGCTCTGTGAGCACCACAGGAAGACACTGTCCCTGCTCTAAAATACTCATCCCAAGCCCTGATATTTTCTGGGGTGTCCTTAAGCCTCTTTGTTTCCCAGGCTGGGTCTGTAGCTCATCTCTCCGTAGCTCCCTGGGATAACAAAAGCAGAGGAGAAAGGAATCAGGCATGAAGAGAATTTGGTGTTTGTTACTGATCACAGAGCTCCTCAGTGCCCGAGAGCATTTGCTGTTGTCTTGTCTTCTGATGGGGAAAAACTTTTTTTGAAAAAACCCAAGTTGTGTCACGAGCTTTTCTATGAATTCAGATGCTTAAATTGGTGCTAATTTTTTAAAAGAAAATGTAACAGATGGTTAGCAGTGTATTTGTCTGTTTTTGATACCTATATTTTCTTAACTGGTGGCAAGCCAAACTTTATAAAATGACTAATGTGCATTTTCAGCTTCATCAGATTCCCAGATTTTCCTGAAGTAAAGTGTTTTATCTTCCATGGTAGCTACTGCTTCTTTGGAGCTTTCAGGTGTTTTATACACTAATAAAATGAACACAATTAGAACAGACAGCAATACCAAACTATCCTTTTCTTTAAATCACATGTTGTGGTTCCCCAGGTGGTTTTAGCAGTTTAGTGTGATCAAGATGCCTAATTAAGAGCAAACCAGAGATACCTGTGTGCAGTTAACTCAGTGCAGTGAAGCCTTATCTGGTTGTTAAGATAATTTATAAAGATTATACAAATCTTCATCTATTTTAAAGAGGGAATAACAAGTAGAAATCATTAACTGTTTTTGTACAAATTAAAATGTTAATTCTAGAGAATATATTCTTTAGTGTACGCCAGAACACGTGCTATTAAAGAGTATAGTAGGCTCATTGAGTGATTTATTATCAAATCCACTTTTATCCAATAAATTAAAACAAACCCCCTTCAAAACTTAGTTGTTTGAGAATTTCTTTTGTAATGCCTTCAAGTTTAACTCCCCTCGGAATCTGTTGTTGTTTTGGTCCTCTTTCCCACCTTCTGTTTACCAAATGTCACAAAAAGTAGCATCAAGCCCTATCCCCTGTTACAGTGTTCTGATTTTATGGCCTTAATATTAGTTGCAGTATGGTATGTAATTTCAGAAGAAAAATGTGCTTTGAAGTCTAATTCTATAGATACATGTGGCCTCTTCTGCCTATGAAATTAGGCTTTGATTGTCATATCTCATTCTCGATGCTTGTGCAATAGGAACATGTTCCTCTCAATGCAGTGGCTATTCTGTCTGATGCTGGACTTTGTTTTTAGGATGACTAGAAACTTTTTTGCCTTCTTTTTTTTTTTTTTTTATGGACAGCAGTCATGCTTCCTTGGTTTTTTGGACTGATACTCTTTAGGAAATTAGAATTTCATAAGGAAAACTGTCAATAACTAGTTCTGTAGTTCTAGTTAAAGCCTTGTTCTGAAGCTTTTTTTGTTGTTTTTTTTCTTTCTAAAAATCTTATCGTAAAACAGTACTAAAGCCACTGTAAAATGACAAATAAATATGTATACCTAAAAGATTTGAGCAGTCTGTCTTATTTGCTGTAGCAATGTTTTCTTTTTCTTGATTCTTCCTGTGTTGTAGAATGTTTTCTGTAAACAAAATTATATATGTTAGATGTATAGATCAGTTCTCTCAAAACATGATATTTCAGTTACCACTTCAGCTTCCAGTTAGCCAAAAAATAAATGTTGGCATGAAAAATGAATGAAGAAAAGCTTTAAGAGATTGGTTGGAGCAGCTTTTTCCTGATCAGCTGGAACATTTGGACACGTTAACAACATTTGGTTTTACTGCCAAGTGTGCTTTGAAACTTGATTGGGGGGTTCTTTGTTGTTTAAATGGCAGAAGCTTGAAAAAAATAGTTCCATTGTGGTTATTTTGGGGATGACATAAGTATTTTTGCAAAGACAGTGCTGAGATTTCCAGGCACCTCACAGAGCTCTCTGCCCTAACTCCAGGGGAGGGGAGTTAAAACTCAACTGCTACTTTGATTTAATGGCTTTTAGTGGAGGGTTTCCGATATTAAAGGAGGGATTAACAGCTGCCTTCCTAGAGCCAGGACTAGGGCTCTCAGCCAGCCTTTGGTGTTGTGAAAGCTTCATCTGGAACTGAAATAATTTTTAACAGCAACGTTGCTCTTTCTTGCATGGAGAACTTGGAATTTTTGCCTCTTCTCTACCAGGCTTTGCAAGAGAGTATCTGGATAAAGAAAGGATGCCCAGTAGATCCCAAAGCATCCCTATATTGGATGATAGGATGCTTTTCAGGTGCTTCTTCAGCCACAGAAGATCTAATCCATTAAATACAGAACAACAGCAGTAAAAGAATTAAGCAGGATGATGATGTGTTTTACAAAGTGCTTTACAAAGCATTGCCCAAAAACATTCCTTGCTTATGCCATACCTTTCCTTTTTATTTCCTGCAAGTTTTTGAAGCTGGCAGGGCAGTTTTAGAAAGGTAAGGAGGGAGTGATGTGATTAAACAAGACCCAAATATTTTTTGAGGGACTTCACAAATTGATTTTTTTCATAGCAATGAGGTCTCAAAAAAAAAAAAAAAAAAAAAAGATGGGGAAAAAGAAACAAGAAGAAAAAAGAAACAAGAAGAATGCAAGTGCATGGAATTCTAATGGAAAACCTGCTCATCTGTGCTTGCTTGGTGTGAAGGTAGGGTGGCAAAGACACAGGCTGTTGTTCAGTGATGCACTTGCATGAGTGCATGGAAGGGGTTGGCTGGGGGGCACTTGGGAATGAAGAGCCTGCAACACTGCCTGGGGCTTGGAATAGAGCAGGGCTGTCACACTCTGTGGGCCTTGGGGGGTAAGGCACTGGTTTTTTTGATTCATTCGTATTTGATCTTAAAACAAGCTCCTTGCTCTTCTGTGGGGAAGAAGAGAAACATCTGTGTGGTTTCTGCTTACACACCATCAGCTGCTTCATGGAGACACTGAGCTCTCAGGTAGGTGGCCACTCTTACATTTAATCTTGCTGGAAGAGCAAATAACCAACCACGTGTTTTTATCATACAAAGTATAATTTTAAGTTGGTACTTAAGTAAGAGATACCATGTGTTCACATGAAACTTCTGGAGTAGGTTAAAAGAACAGTGGTTATTTTGTTGATATTTAGCTGTATAAGTGTCATTAATGCTGTATCAAGATAATTAACACAATTCTTGTGTAGAGAGAGGTGGCTCAGGAGGGAGGGACCCTACCAGTGACAGTCTTAAGACTAATCTGTTCTTATTTGAGTGCTGTAGGGAGGCTAATTGTAATCCAGAGGAGCAAATGGCTTTGTAAGGGATCTCCTCCCTCTCCACGGATGAATATCCCTTCAGTGAGAGGAACAGGAGCTCTGGATCCCAGAGTGCTGTAAGGAGATGCAGTATGTGTCTCATTGTTTCTCTGTCTCTAACTGAAACAGCTAATTTGGGGTGCAGGTGAGAGCTCAGCACCCTTTTGAAGCCCATGTAATAACTGGCACCTCTGGGGTGGCTGGTAAAACACTCCAGCAAGCCTGACATCCCTGGATTAAAACCACTGAGGCATTTAGAGCATCACTCAGGGTGACCCAAAAAATACCAGAGTGCTTCCCCAGCACACTGCACAGGCTGGCTTGGGAGGGGGTACTGCAAAGTATCTGAAAGTTTTTTCCAATGGTAAGAGAAAATCCTGGAGTTCAGGGATCCCATGGTTATATAATTGACAGCCAGGGTTTTCCTGTTTAGGGTTCATATTTCACCTCTGAACCCAAGGTGAGGCCTTTCTCTCTCCCACAGCTCCATTCAGAACTGACACACTCCTGTTTATTTCCACCTGTTCATTTCCCCAAAGGTTTCAAAGAACTCCTCCATTTCTTTCTGGAGCATTTCATTTCTTCTCTCTGCATCTTCCTTTGCTCTCTCTGCATTTCTCATCTTCACCTCCACCAGCCTGTACCACTTACGCTGCTGTCCCAGTTTCCAGTGCATCCCCTGGATCTCCAGCTGCAGGGCTCTGTTCTGCTGCTCCAGCCTGTTGGAAACACAGATATTGTGAAGCACAAGATTATTTCCCTCCTTTTTTTTTTTTTTTTTTTTTTTTTAGAAAAGCTCCAGTCTTTTTTTTAAGTTAGCCTTTTTAAACATATGTTCCCATAAATACAAGTATTGGCACCCCCAATACTTTTCCAATTTATGGTGTTATACATGAGAAGCTGCAATTTTTAGTTATCTTAATTTACAGTAAATATAAATAACCATATGGCCAAAGGAGTCAGTTTGGGGGTTGGTTGGGTTTTTTTGGGTTTTATTTTTGTAATAGAATACTACAGTAGTCCAACAATGAATGGCAATGCAACATATTTTAGGAGACACTGAGGATTTTGCTTATATTGCAGTTCCCTTGAACTGCAAGGGAAAATAGAAGTAGAATACAGCAAAGAGATTAAAAAAACCCAAAACACTAAAATCCTAGGAACAGCTCCTTTACTATGAAAAAATTGATTAATATTTCAAGAAATTAAAGATTAAATGGATTTTTTTCTTTGCACAAGGCAAAGTGTAATTCAACATTACCCACCTGCCATCTGTTGAAATGCTGCATATTGAGGCATTTTCTGGTTTATGTCAATTCACATGACATACTTGTAACTTATAACTAATTAACAATATTATATTTAAAATGTTCCTTTTAACTATACAATAGCAAAGCAGCACTATTTGGAAAGTGGAGCCTGAAAATCTTGCTGCCTTTTGGCTTTGATAACAAGTTGTGGCTAAATCTCTATTTAGTTTCTTATCTTAGAAATTGGGAAAATACTTACGAACACTTTCTTCAGAGTTGTTAAAATTCATGGCTTGCAGTTTGTAAAGAATAATGACTTACTGCTAATGCTGCTGAGCAGCCTGCACAATATTCCCTAGAGAAATGCTTGATATTGGATTAAGGCGAAAAGAGAAAATACACAATAGACCAGAGGCTTTTCAAGAGCTCTGCACAGCCCTGCAAAAAATCATATAGATGCTCTGGAGTTCCTCAAGCACCTCACATGAAAAGAATTTGGATAACTCTGAATAATTCCCTACCTAATCCTGTAATGCTGGATCCTGGTGCCATTCCCAGTGGTACGTGGAGGCATTGACTGCAGCAGCATCCACAGACCCTGTACTTGGAGTGGTTGCATTCAGTAGGAAGGGATCCCTTCCCTGAAGCCTCACAGCTTTTAAAATCCTTTACCTTGCAATTTTAGATTCGTACTCAGCCTTCTGTCTGGCCATCAGCATCCTCAGATCTGCAGGGTGGTGCTGTGGGCAGGGTGGGTTTGCTGGCGAGTCCCCGGTGGAAGCACAGCTGTCACTGCTGTCCCCTGGGATGTGTCCTGTGTCCTCCTGCTCCTGCAGAACAGGACTTACAGCTGCACTGGTTTCTTGGCAGTCTTCTGGGTGGGCAAGTCTTGTCAAGTATCTCGAAGGAGTGTTTTTCTCAGACATGGCTCAGCAGCAGGAGCCTGTGGAGCTGCCCAGTCTGCCCCACCCAGGCTCTCCAGCGCTCGCACCCGCTCAGTGCCTCTTTTGCTCCAGAGGAGTCTTTGTCTCTGTGTCTGTCTTGCTCTGCCTTGCCACGGGTTCTGAGAGTTTTCTTCCTCCCCACAGCTGTTTGGAGCTTTTCAAATACTTGGAAATGGTCCATTTTGCTGGGGCTAGGATCTTGTTTCAGGCTCCAGCTTTGCCTTTTGTACACAGCAGGCTGAGGGCTCGAACTGCTGCGCCCGTCTGCTGCCCAGTCCCATTGTCACCATGGCTGGTTTATTCTCATCTCCAGGAGCTACTGCTGCTTTCCTACCCCCACTCTCTTTGCTGTAGTTTGTCTGACATCTGCAGGGGGTCCCTTTGAGAGCTGCCCACCCTTAACTGGTTTCATTCCCAAGCTGGGAGGTGAATTCTGCAGTATTATCCCAGTCCCAGCGCTGTGCAGGGCCTGTTTTGCTGCAAGGAGGAGGCTCCTTGCATTCCCCTTCGCTTATATCAGGAGGGAGACATGTAACGTGTGTTTTGGCTGTGCTGTATCCTGCTGGTCAGGCATGACAAAAATTGCATGGATGTAAAATGGCTCATTGTGCTGCTCATCCCTGGAGCGTCCGCTGCGTCGGCTTCGGCCGACTCCTCCGGTCACGATGCTCCAAGGACAAGAAGCTGGAGGTTAAGGAAAAATAGGCCACATCAGCGATATTCCCATTCCTCTTGGAAAGACATTCTTTGATGTGAATAGATACAGTGTTTATTTTAGCTGTCTGTTCTCACCAGAGAATCAAGCACGGCACAAAAATAACTCGACTGCAACTAAAGGAAGAGCAACCCTTGCAGTTTAAATGCGCATCTCAAAAATAACGGAGATGGTTTAAAATAATCTGAGAAGTTGTTTCCTCTCCCCGACCCCCACCTGTTCAGTCTCATGATACAAAAAGTGAAAATGAGCTTATTTAAGTGCTGCTGTGTTTCTTTAAGTGTTTTCAATACCTCTCTGTGAAAACTTCCTCA